GATGTGAGCTCCTAGTCAGTGTCCTTCAGCTGCTGTAATTAATTCAGCACTTCATCCCTTTAGAGGTGATCAGATAACCCCTAGCCAGCCAGTTTGCTTTCTCAGATAAAGGCTTTTCATTTTCCTTTTAACTTTCCAAGCTCTCTCCAATCAGCCTTGCTTTCTTCTTCCTTTCAATGCTGTGTACCTGGACCTAAGACTATTACATGGTCTGAGAGCTTTGAACATCAGTGCTGTGATCAGCCACGAAAGCAGTCCAATTTCCACTCTGTTCAAATAGTGCTTTCCTGTCTTGTCTGGGAAAAGTGTCTGCCAGTTCATATTTTTTTTTCTTCTTATCAGCAAAACACATATATACTGTGCTCGCATTGCTTAATATAAAACAGGGAGAATCCCTAAACAATCGGAAGACCAGTTAGAAAAACTGCCCAGGCTTCTGTTCTCATCCCAAAGCACACACTTCTGTTTGCCATCAAATGAGAAAGCAAATCGACACAGCACTGATTTTACGGATGTCGGTGATTGAAAATTATTAGACCTTAATAATGGCCTTCTTTAAACAAATAGTATTTATCATATGCCCAACTTCTTAGGAATTATTTCTCTCCCCTGCAGTCCCCAACCCTGATATCTGGTTTACATGCAGATAGTCTTGAATAATAGTGACTAATTCATGTTAGATTGTTGGCAAATGAGTAGGGATCCACTTCCAACTCTTTCCAATTCACTCTTACTAAATACGGCATCGTAAGGTTTCTGTATCTGTCATGGGCAGGGCTGTTTGATATCCCCAAAGTAGTACATTTGCATGTGTTATGTATTTTTTCATGGAGAAGCAACATCTTTTCTGTTCTTTTTTATCATTTTTTTAAAAAAATTTTATACATTTAACTACTATACATCACTTTGCTTGTAAGTTGAATTTATCCAACATGAATACACTTTATATCAGTCCAGTTGAGGATACAAAACACATTATCAACAACAGATAATAATTCATTTCTGTGTCCCATTAATGTCTTGCCTCTCTCACCCTTCCTCCCTCTTCTCTCATCCTCTTCCCACATTGCCTTCCAAATCTATAACTATTTTTAATGCTTCTATGTCCTCAAATCTCTCAATTTCTACCATAGAGTGTGGACGGTTAGTATGTCGAGTGGGAACATACAATGTCTCTCTTTCATAGCCTGGCTTGCTTCACTCAACACTAAATCTTCCATATTTGTCCACTTTCTATCAAATGCCAGGGTCTTGTTTTTTATGGCTGAGTAGTATTCCATAGAGTATATATGCCACGTTTTTCCAATCCGTTCATTTGTTTGTGGACATTTGGGTTGGTTCCATGTCTTAGCAATTGTGAATAATGCCACAATAAACATATGTGCAAGCACTTCACATCTTTTCTAAATTTTTTGCCAAAGTTTTAGTATTTAATAATTAATAATACAACTAACCAAGGCCTGAAATGTGAAGATAATATGTTCAAGACACTGGGGGGAGGGGTCACTCTTTAAACTCACTATGTACTACGTGGTTAAGAATGCATACTTTATAATGTAAAACCTGTCTACACATAGTGGTTAGCTCAGAAAGCCAGCTGGTCTCTCCTTGGTGTTCCAGAATTCGATGTGAATTATTAGCCACATTCAACCCTTCTGTGTGGCAGGTATCTTGTTTTCACCTTCTAGTTCTTCCACCCCAGCCTGTGTCATGAGGTTGGTGATGTTTCTCTCCAGGTCATCAATGCAACTACTCCTATCATCAGTTCTTCCAATGATCTGGTTGGACATTGTCTAAAATTTATCTTGCATCTGTTGCAAGAGAATCTGCTCCACAGAGGTCAGGTCCTACACGGTCTTGGATTGGTCTCAGCCATCTTCCCAGTGCCCAGCTGGGTGGTGGTTTCTCAGACCTTCACCTACCAATTTTCTATAGGTCCCTTGCAGGAGAGAACATGGGAGTTGAAAAAGGCAAATATCTTCATAACTCTGCTCTCAGTTCTTTAAATTTTACTCTAAAATTGTGAAAGGATTGAAATGAGCCCAAAGCATGGGCCACTTTGTTGTGGCCTCTCCCCTGTCTTACTTACCTATTTCATTTTGCCTCCTGTGTTTATGTGAGATTGGGATTGAGGAGATATACGGAGGAAGCCCAAGGAGAGAACATGACATTCCCATCCTGCATTGGTGACCAGATGTATTTCTTTAGCAGCCACTATGTTCCCAACATGCTGTTGAGATGTATAAACAAAAGTCTGTGGAGCCAGCAGGTGGCATAGTGGTTAAGGTGCTAGACTCTCACATAGTTGACTGCAGTTTGAGTCCCAGACCCAGTGATTTGAAACATGCTGAGCACCTATGCATGTGTGCCCCAAATCCTGAAAGGATGATAGAGGACAATTGCAGAGTGGCTAACCCCTCACTGAGGGGCTTTCTGTCTCTCTGGTAAGCACACACACCCAGTAGCAAAAATCTCTCTCAAAAAACGTTTAGAATTCATGGGTACGCACATGACCTGGACCACATGGAGTCAAATTCAGGTTCAACCATTAACAAGCTCCACGATCTTGAGCAAGTAGCTTAATCTCTCTCTTTTGTTAACTATAAACTGAACCAGAAATGTACCTATCTCATAGTGCTTCAGCGAAGTCCAGATACTTGAATATTTACAAAGCCACTTATAGCACTTAATAATGTTTCTGATTGTTTTCGCTATTCTTGCCCTCAAAGCTCTTGTCCAATTACTAGAGGGCATTGATAAATGATTAGAAATCAAATCATATGATGCATATTGAATGAGTAGAATTGTAGGAGAAAACAATAATAATATAACCTATCAAGACTGGCATATAGTCTAGCTTTACCAATATTAAATATATTTGATTCTTTATGCCTCCCTCATGAACACTCTTAGGATGTTCCTCCCCCTACCCCCATTTTTCACTCACAGTTCTTTTGAAACTTTGCTACACATTGGACTCTATGTTACATCAGGGGTTAGCAGAGTCCAGGAGCCCCAGTTTGACTGGACATTGAATAAATGTTGTGTTTTATTTTCTGACTAGTCAGAAGTCCCATGGAACAGCATGGCTAACTGCTAAGCGAAAGGGAGTGTGCGCAAGGTGGGCTATGAGTGCAGACCACCCTAGCTATATCTTTCCTAGGTTTGGTGAGGATGAGAAAATTGCTGGGAATACAATTCATAGTAAAGAATTATAGAGATGCCATGAATGGTTACATAGATGTTAAATCAAATTTTCTCCATCTAACATTTATCTAGGACAGAATTGCAGTGAGCAAAGCATAACGAGCTCCTATGCCAGTCTGGATAGACCACTGAGACACAGAAGGACTCATAGGCATATTAGAAAGGCATTGGTCAAAGTATCTTGGGTGTCTAGAGGACAAAGCCCTGTTCTAGTGCAAGTCACCAGAAGACCCTGGAAGAAGTACTTATCCTTTTTTAGAAACTCAGTTGTCTAATCTGTAAAATGGGTATAATGATACCTCCTCTACTGTGTGGAAGGTGTGAGAGAAATAACAAGGGTCTGTACAAATTCTTTAAAGACTGTGCAATGCTGTAGAAGTGTACAGTGGTGTCATCAAGTAAAATAGAACAAATAAAAAATGAAAGCTAATAGGAATCTAAGGACATAAGGAAAAGAAGCAATTAACTTACTACATAATATATTTTAAAACAATGAGGTAATGTTACCAAGTATTTTTCTATGGTATGGCTAATCTTTGACTCAATGAAGGCCACAGTAGGAAAGGAAAATTACCTTCTACTCAAGCTACTAATTTAAGAAATTATATTAAATGTCCTAATTAAAAAGGACATAGTTACCGATTTAAGAAGTGCTATATTGGAGGCCAGCAAGTGGCACTAGACGCCCACATGACTGATCACTATTCAAGTCCTTTACCCAGCGGCTTGAAACTCACACTGGGTGCATGTATGTGCATGCTCAAAATCCCAAGAGGAAAATGGAGAAGGGATTGCAGCATGACCACCCCCCTCCAAGAGATGAGTTCTCTCTTTCTGTCTCTGTTTCTTTCTCTCTGTTATCCCCCCTCCAGGAAATGAGTTCTCTCTTTCTGTCTCTGTTTCTCTCTTTCTCTCTAATGAGTGTACGTGACCTTTAGCAAAAGTCTCTTCAAAAAAAAAAAAAAAAAAGAAAAAGAAGTGCTTTGCTGATACACAGATATTAAAGTGCAAAAATGTTAGTGGAGCCTGATCTATTTTCAGCTCTAAAGGGTATATATTATATTTTAACAAATATATAAGGTTATAAATATTTTCATTTACTCATGGTCACCAATGACCTTCACCAGGGCACAATGTTTTACATCAAGGAAACATTTAGGCATACCAGCATGCTATGTGTCTTCTTTACTCATTCTCTGTCTATGTTGATATGCTAAGCATTGTATTCATGTATAATACATGCTTTGAGAATCTTTTTGATAGTATTTGGGACAGCACTCCAAATCAGACCTTTAGAAAAGTATCAGTATATAACATACTAAAACAATCTTGATACTGCAGGTAGGTAGTACTAGGGCATTACCCTGGGATCAGTGGACTCCTCCACTTCAGGGAATTGATATTTGTGTATAAAAATATTTTCGCATGTACATTATAACAGCAGTATAGAAGCCCACCGTTTTCATTGAACTTCCAAAGAATTAAGAATTGTTAGGGGCCAGCAAGTGGCATGGTGGTTAAAGCACTGGAATCCCACATGACTGACCGCAGTTTGAGTCCTAGACCTGGTGACTCCAGTGACTTGCTTTCTCTCTCTCTCTCTTTCATGCCCTATTGCAAATTTTAAGAATAACAACAATAATAAATAAAATAAATTCTTTTTAAAAAAAGATCAATTGGCTGTATGTTTATGTGTTTTAAAAAAGAACCAATTGTTACAAAGGGAAAGTATGTGGTATCTGGCTGTTTTAACCCCAAGGGCTTTCTAACAGGAAATATGCTTCTTGTCCTAGGTATTAAAGTTTGAGCCTGGCAATTTCAAGAGGAGAGGCAAAGCCAAGAACATGGCTCTCGTGGACATCCAGTTGGATCACCATGAGCGGTGTGATTGTATCTGCAGCTCAAGACCACCTCGATAAAAGAATGTGCACATATTTACATTCAGCATGAACGCACCTACAGGTGCTTAGGTGAAGGGTAGGGTATGAGACCGTTTTCTCACCAGCAACTGGTTACTACTAGCCTGAAATGCAATGAACACAAGAGGTTGCTGAGTTTCAAGCTAGCTTTGTTAGTCCCACAGCAAGTAGAAAGGTATATCATCAACTTCTACATGTAAGAATATAGGACTGCATTTAATAATAGTGTCTGAGGAAATACACACACACAGATTTATATATATACATATATACATATATGTATATATATATCATCTCTTCATGTCTTTGTGTAAATAGATCAAATGGTTTATTCAGTATATATAGCCAGGTACATCAGAACTTACATATGGTTGAGTTATTTAGACCCTTTAAAATCTCTTGACACATTAAAGGACTAGTTAGACATATGAAACACACAAAATATACATTAAATGTTTCAAACATGAAGCAGATTAAATATATGAAAATTTGGAAGGTGAATTCATTTTCAAATTTTGAATCATGAAACACTTTTAGATCTTGTTCTCTTAAAGAAAAACTTGTATATTACAAACTAAAAGATGAGCTTTTCTTATGTATACATCTTAGTTGATTATAAAAAGGAAAAATGTGGTTTCTAGAGAAAAAGCAATTATGAACCCTGTTTTTCTACAAGATATACTAACACTTACCTATGTAGATAATTATCTGTCTCTAAAACCATGCCATAATAGTAGAGGTGCTTTAGAAATTAAGTCATTAAGCCTTCTTTTTTATGCATTTTGCTGAGGCATGCTAATTCATTTAACACTTGTCTCAAAAAAATTACTGAGAAGGTTTATTTTGATAATTCTATGAAAGACAGTATATAAACTGTAGCAGAATTTTGAATTTTTTTCCCCAAAGCCTGTCTACAAAGCAAATTCTTTCAAGAATGGTGTGCAGAATCTGTATGAACCTTTCAAAATGGTGTCCACTGGAAGGTTTAGGAAGTTGCAAGTAGAAAAAAGTATACATTGGAAATTGCCATAACTGGAAATGAGAATATTAGTAGCAGAAATTAGAATATTTGATAAGATCCATGTTTAATAATGAATTCAAACTCTCCAGACTATGCCAGTTAATTTTATGTACCTTGCTTTTGTGTTCCTATCTTTTTGATGCTCTTTGACATGTAGACATGGATTTACAATGACATTTTATATTTAATCCATCATGGATTATTTATAGGCAAAAAGCTTTTGTGCAGTAATAAAACCACCAAATTTTATTGATGTAAATCCCTAAACACGTACTCACCATCTTGAATTCCTGTTTCTGAACCAAATGAAATAAGATCTGGGGCTTCTGGTGTGTTCTCAATCTATGGAGCTCGTTCTGAGAAGCCAACTGTAAATTGTAGGAGCACACATTTGTCCCTGCTCTCCTCCAGAAAACTATTTTGCATCTGTTATTGGTATTTAGAGTAATTTTTCCTCCCTGGCTCCTTCATGTCTATTTTAACAGAAACTGATTCCAGGAGTAGGAAGTGACTCATTATTCTCCAAAGCAAGACTCTTAAGACAGCAACACTGAAACCCAGATAACTCAGAAACTACTCTTGAAGAGCTACATTTTTCTTCCTGCTTTGAAAGTAGAAAGGAGATCCAATTTCTTCCATGAGTCCAGGGCCTTACTGACTACAAGTTTGCTGAGAGTTACGTGATTGCCTGGGTAAGTCCCAGTGTCAGATGAGTGGCCTAATGAACTTGGATTTGTAAGATCGGTAGTCCTAGGTCCAAATTCTCCACTCTCTGTAAGTAGCTCAGGTCTTCTCAGATCTTTGAGATGAAAGGCCTGCCTATGTATATTGAAGATGTACTTTCTGAAACATCCTTGAAAGTGTCCAGTGTTTTACTCAGGGAGTGAGTAGTAAAATTAAATACTCTATTGTTTGGTTCTCTAAAATCAAGAGCACAGTCAGAAATAGCCCATGTAGACAGTAATACTCAGGAACCTTTCTTCCCTTTCATGGCCACTTGCACATTTCCTTCAAAAACATTGACTTCCTGGACCCAAGTCAAACTGTGGGGAACATCTCTCGGGCTTGCACAGCTCACATGGTGGCTGTAAATATGAAAAATTAGAGTGCTCTACCCAATTTTCAATAAACCTTCCAGGCTACAATAAGCAGGATGGTTTTCAGTTAAAGCCTTATCTGTACTTTTTATTTATTAGGTGAAATATAAGCAGGCATATTCACTCACTTTTCTTTTTCTTTCCTGAGTGTTTTAGTAAAACTTCTCCCTTGGTTATCTATTATCTATTGCACTCCCAACATGTAGCCAATAAATCTGTTTCATTGCCATCAAAGGAATAAAAAGCTCACTGTACAAATTACATTTCAAAACAAACCCTAATAAATCCACATTTCTGCATGGCTCACTCACCTGGAATAATGCCTTTCATTCAATATGTTCTTATAGGGCAGAACACTTTCATAAATAGAGGGTTTTTTAATTTTTTTTGTCATATCGGTAACATGCAGCTTTTTCCTCTCATAGCACTTCCTATGGCAAATGTAATATGCCTCTTATCTTCATGAAAAATAAATATTGCTTTTGAACAAAACTACTCCATTATTTAGTACTCAATTGCAGTTTTAAAAGGTGCACAGTGTTACAAACTTATTTCGCAAATTCATCCAGCTGTTGGAAATGACAAGATTGGCTGGTAGATTGTGAGGGCGTTTTACAATGGCTGACAGAGCAAACTCCTTGCTCCCACATGGCAGGCTCCTGCTCTGTGCCTGTCCTACGGCCTCGCAGCGATATGGAGCTGGGTTATGTCACTTCTAGCTGCCGTTGCTGCTTCTTTGACTGTTTCTCCACAGGCTTTTAAGGAATTGGGATCTCCCCTGATGTTCCCCACGTAATGAAGTTTGCATCCTCTCTTTCCTGGGGCCCGAAAGCAACATCATCACAGCCCAGTTCTCTTTGCCTCCTCTTGCTCCTTGTCCTGTTACTTGGACACCTCAGCTCGTAATTCTGTGATATCAATTCAGGGAGACCAGTTCAGGGGTCACACTCTTAGAGCATTTGGTTTATGACTAGTGAAGGGGCGCAGAGCCGAGAGAGCTCTTACAGCTGCAAGAATTGTTGCTTTCACTTATAGATTAGTCTTTATCATCATCCTACTGGAGACAGGATAGCAGCTGCAGAGTTAGGTGAATCTCTGCCGTTTTAGTGGTTGTAGGTTGCTTGGGGGATCGCCATAGAGAAGTATATTCTATTGTCAAGAATCAATTTTACCATTGAAAGTACTGGCTAGTGGGGACCAGCGGTTAGCGTAATGGCTATGTCGCTTGACTCCCATGTAGTTGACCGTGGTTTGCATCCCGGACCTGGTGGCTTAAAACTCACGCCAGGCGCGTGTGCGTGCGTGTCCAAGATCCTGAGAGGAGAACGAAGAAGGGATTGCGGTGTGGCCATCCCCCTGGGGGATGATTTCTCACTTTCTGTCTCTCTGTCTCTCTCTGTCTGTCTCTGTCTGTCTGGCAAGCGCCCTCGCCCTATAGCAAAAAAAAACTCTCAAAAAAAAAAAAAGTACTGGCTAGTGTATGAGTCAGAGGAGTATAGATGAGGAATGGGAAAAAGAGTCAATAATTCTGTGCATAATAGTTAACTTAGTAACGTAGGTTTTTATGAAAAATTGTAATAGCCATGTATGTAAACAACATTTAATGTGACTACGTTAATAATTTTATTTCCTAAAATGTGCATATGTCCAGTTGTACTCTAAGAATAACTCGACAGATGTCCAAGTCATTCATATTCTCCTAGGGTTCTCTGGTAGGCCATTACATTAAAATGCACAGATTTGTATTCATGCCTGAAGTCCTAGGAAATATACTTTAGTTTTTTGACATCACTGATCAATTATGCTGGAAGATAGAGTATTTATAATTCATTGATTTTATTGACATTTCACTCAAATTTGAAAGATCAAGTTAAAGACTATATAGGCCTCTACTAAACTTAACATAGCACACAGAGATATCTCACAAAGAAAATAAGTAGACATCAACTGTGGATGAGTAACTGATCACTTAATTTTTTTGTTTTGTTTTGTTTTTTTTTTGAGAGGTTTTTCACTATAGGGCGCGTGTGCTCACCAGACAGACAGAGAGAGACAGAGAGACAGAAAGCGAGAAATCACCCCCCCCCAGGGGGGATGGCCACGCCGCAATCCCTTCTCATCCATTCTCCTCTTGGGATCTTGGGCACACACGCACACCCGCCGCACCGGGCATGAGTTTTAATCCACCGGGTCCAGGACGTGAACCGCGGTCGACTACGTGGGAGTCCAGCGACATAGCCATTACGCTAACTGCTGGTCCCACTGATCACTTAATTTTAAGACTTTATATTTTCTCTTAAGGTTTTATTTCAAAATGTTGCAAATTAATTTGTATCTTTTCAAATAAATTTCATAACTATAAAGATGTCTAAGAATTTCTCAAATAAGAAGAGTCGAGCTAAGACCATAATCAAGGTTAATGTACTCAGCACATCAAGTTATGGACCAAGAAATCACCATTTTCTAACAAAATCATTTGACCTTTAATTATTTTAAATTCTTTGATTAGTGGTTGCTAGGTTTTGTGGCCAGAAATCAAATGTTAAAGCATTCTTGGATTCAATATATCTTTGGGAAGACATGGGAAGGGGGTGACTAAATGCGTAGTTCCCCAAGGGAATAATTAATAAGGTAAAACTGTCAACTGTTTTAAGAAATTTCTGCTTGAGAGTTGAACACATCAAGTCAGTATTTCCTGGTGTTGTCCATCTTGGCACAAACTTCAGAATATATGTCAGATATTTATTGACTTGTATCAAAGGAAATTTAGCCACAAGGAGGGGAAAACTGACTAAATATTTCATTCATTCAGCAATGAATGTATTAAAACACACTATGTATCAGGCGTGCTTTGGGATTCAGACTACAAGTAAGATCCACAAGAGAGGATAAAACTGGAGGAAGCTGCTCTGGTAGGATAAACGGAAAGAGAAAAGATCTCCCATCAAAAATGCATAAGGTAAATGGGGGCCGTTCAAAGTGGCAGAAAGGGAAGGAAAGGAAAGGCATCTGTGGCAGAACAACTAGTAGTATGTTTGAAAATAATAACCAGCTGACATCACACCAACTCTTGCTCGAGTAGCTAGTAAAGGAGTTTAGACTTTCATATGTAGGAGAGAAAGTCACGGGGACTCATGAGCATGATGAGGGCTCTGTCACAGGGCACCAGATGTGAGATGGCCTTGGATATAGTGACTCGTCTACCACTTTCTGTATCTAGGTCTTCTCATTTTCAAAAGTGAATATGTAAGATGTTCTATAGGCCCCTTCCAGCAGAACAATTCTGCATTTTAGAAAAACTCTTCCAGTGTACAGGAAACATGGGTTAAGGATATGAATGCCAAGGCTCCTGCAAGTTCTAGAGGTGAGACAGAAAGGAGGAAGTGAAATTTGAGAGGCAGGAAGGAATGTGTGCCCCCTATGGCCAGTGCTGGCTGCACCCTGAAAATCTCCAGCGGCTGCTCTTTGCATGAGCTATTGCCACTGGAAAGGTCAACAAGAGAATTCAAAGGTTTTAGTGATTGGGAGAAGAGGGAAGTATAGGCTGTAGGTATCCAGGGGGAAGGATTTACATCAGTTTAAAATTTGAAGAATATTGGGACCAGCAGTTAGCATAATGGCTGTGTCGATAGATTCCCCTGTAGTCGACTATGGTTCGAGTCCTGGACCTAGCGGCTTAAACTCACACCGGGCGCATGTGCGTGTGTGCCCCAGACACTGAGAGAATGGAGGAGAAAGGATTGCAGTGTGGCCATCCTCCCTGGGGGGTGATTTCTCATGTTCTGTTTCTCTATCTCTCTCCGTCTCTCTGGCATGCACACGTGCCCTATAGCAAAAATCTCTCAAAAAAAATTTTTTTTATTATCCTGGCAAAACTAGGTAGACAGGACAGAGAGGTCAGTTTTGAGAGCATTATCTCTCTGAAGATGAGCCAGAACCTCTGATGTTGACTGGAACTCATCCTCATAGTGGCAAAGCTGAAATCATGAGAAGGTAAAAAATAGAAGCAAAAGGACATCCATAATTATAGAGATGAGGCATGAAGACAAGATCACAAAGCCCACAAAAATTTGTTCCAAAAACTTGCTAAGGACTTACTGAGGGCTGGTTAAGTGTCCAGCCCTATGTGAGACACCATGGATTCACAGAAAAATAAAACAGAGATGTGTCCTACCCTTACCAAACTAGAAAAGGAAGGGTAGATTTTAAGTAATTATGTAAATAATTCAAAATAATTGTGAAAAGCAAAAACATAATGTAGAATGACAGTTTAAGGTGAATTGTAGATTGGGGTAGGAAAAGAAATTTTTGAGAAGATGACATGAAAGCAGCAATAGAAATTTGGAGAAGTGTTAAGAGGAAAGTAAAAGAAACATGTAGCATTAAGAAGGTGGCATTAGAAGTGGGAAAAAATTTACTGTGGCTGGATTAAAGAAATATTGTGAACTTTTTCTATTGCTAGAGGGCATGTGTGCTTGCCAGAAAGAGAAAGAGAGAGTAAGCCCCAATGGGGCTTGATCACACCTCGATCCTTTTCTCTCCATTTCTCCATCCCATCGGGATTTGGAGCATGCGTGCACATGTGCCCAGTGTGCTTTTCAAGCTTCTCAGGCTGGAATTCAAGCCACGGTTAGCCGTGAGGGGTCAGGCTCCTTCTGTGCTGTGTTTAACTGCTGCGCTACAGGGCCAGCCATTTGTTTGGTTGATCAGAGTCAGTGATGGGTTAGAGTGAGGCAATGGAAGGATCGAGGATTCTTTCAACATTCAGCGTAACAGGACCAATGACGGTGCCATTTGCTGAAATGGGAGACATGAAAAGAGGAGGAGATTCATGATCAATTCAGAATTTTTCATGAGGGACCAGCAAATGTTGGTCCCAGCAACAGTTACATCACTGGATTCCCACATATCTGTTTATCCCCGGACCTGGTGGCTTGAAACTCATGCCAGGCACATGTGCATGTGTGCCCAAGATCCCAGGAAGAGAATGGAGGAGAAGGAATTGCATCATGGCTATACCCCCTGGGTGGGGAGGGGCAGGTGTGATTTAATCACTTTCTGTCTTTCTATCTCTCTCTGTCCGGCAAGCAAAAATACCTCTCTAAAATACTACTACTACTACTAGTAATAATAATAATTCAATATCAGATATCAATGACAAATGACTGTGACATATCCGGTCGAAAGTATCTAAGTAGCAGCTAGAGCTGTGGGGTCTAAAACTCAGAAAGAGGAAGGGGCTAAGGATGAGATGTGAATTTGGAAGTCATGAACATATGTTACTAAAATCCACAGGAGTGGTTGAGATACTTGGACAGTGAAGAGTAACCGGGCAAAGGATCATGGGACAATTGCTCAAGTATAAAAATGTCGCAAGGGTCAGAGGAAGACGTTGTTTGAAGGGAAGTGGGTTTTCTCACATATTGCAAAGAAGGTATAGGGCATACCTACTGGTTTATCTGTCCAGAAAGACTCATCCC